TATATATATATATATATATATATATATATATATATATATATATATATATATATATATATATATATATATATATATATATATATATATAAGTAAAAATATATTATATAATATAAATATTCACTCGTCCCCAGTTCCCACCAATGTCAAGTGCAAACCTACGCCCTTGGTGTTAGTGTACGTTGACATGTACTTGCAAGTTTCTTATAGTCAGTTAAATGTCTGTTGAAGGAGCAGTATCAACATATATTAAGCAGACAGGCTACTAATACTCAAATGGAGCATCAAAATAAAGTGTTACCTTTTATGTTTGTTTTGTTTAATTTTTGTGACCTATAATCTATAATTTTTCACTGTGGAAGTTCTTTTGCATTTTGAATTCATATTTAATTTCATTCAGCTCGGTCACAGGAGTAAATTATAGATGACTCACCACTTCTAGAGCTTTCAGGCCACTCCTGATGCTGGAAACTTCTTTCTCCAGCTCAGCTAGACTGGAAATAACAGCAATCAAAAATGGCTCTAACTAACTAAACATAACAGCTTAAGCATACCAAAAAACAACTGATAATAATTGGTAAATATTCATGTTCATCATAATGCTGGATATGACTCACTTGACTTTGGCGGCTTCTGATACACTGCACAAGTCCTGTTGAATACTGAGGATGTCAGGGTAATTCTTTTCAAAGATCATGATCAGGTAATGCAGCATGGTGATGTTTCTGTTAAAATGGTAAGATTAAAATATGACAGTGTCATCCAAATTTAGAGACTGTCATGCCACAATCATTCAGACGATCATTCTTTCAGAACGGTTCATTCAACAGAGAAACATTTATTCTATTAAACTTGTAAGAAAAAGTTGTGTTAGGCTGAAAATAGTGACAGTAAATATTGCATTTGGATGAGCAAGCTAATAAAACCATTTTCGATGACTCCTGACCTGTCTATACTTGACTTGGTGTCTATGATCTTGTTAAGACTGGACACTTTGAAACCGTATGCATTGCCCCTCTGTCCTTTGTTCATGAAGTTCCCGAACGCCAAAACCACTTCTAGAACCTGTCTCAGGAGCTTACTTCTCATCACCTCACGTGATGCGCACAGAATAGCTAGAAATGAAACAAGAAAAAACAAAATCAAAGATGGTTACTGATGCTTACTGTAGCCCCCATGTTGGGGTTTGTAATGAAAGTAGCCCCATTAAGATTACACTTTTTTCCCCCAGATTTTGGCCTGTTTTGCTTCATGTAGGGCAGGGTTTTTCAAAGTCTAAGACAGTGGGCCTCCCTTTTGACACAACTTATCCATTGGCGCCCCCCTCCTCCCAAACACACACACGCAGACACACATACACACACACACACACACACACACACACACACTTATATAGGTCTTTACATATATATATATATATATATATATATATATTAGGGATTTAACGGTATTGTAAATACCGTCATACCGCAATATTAATTTTTTTCGATATTACCGAAGTCGCATGACTCGGTAAAACTATAGGTCTTCTGAGAAAATTTGCTCAGGCGAATGAAGCGAACGGGAGGTAGCGAAAACTACAATTCCCATCAGCCCAGGCTTGGCCATAATCCCTTGCGGTCTGTTGTCGCTACAGATCCAGTAATGCGGAAATGGAGTGTGCTGCTAGAAGCTGCTAGAAGCGGGGATGAAAAAGAGCTGTAAAACTCTAAAGCGGGTGTTGTCGCCGCGCGCGTACTGAATAGCGGTGTTGTCGCGCGAGTTCTGATCAGCTGTGTTGTCGCCCGCGTACTGAATAGCGGTGTTGTCAGCACACTGTTCAAATTGATGCAGACATTGACTTGTACCGCAAAGAGATCTCTATCTTACCCATGGTTTGTCCTCTCAAGTGGGGGAAAGACAATGCACAACGTTACCCACTGCTGTCAACCTGGGCCAAGTCATATCTCTCTTGTCCCAGAAACCTCAGTCCCAAAGGAGAGGGGTTTTTTCTGTTGCAGGGGACATTGTAAATGCCCAGAGATACCAGCTTTTACCAGATTATATTTATATGATAATTTTCCTTTAAACCCATCTCTATCTAAGTGAGTGAGTGATTAAATGTTGAATGTGATGAGTTTTCAACAATACTAAATTGAAACTTTATTTTTTTACATGGTTTAATATTTTTTTGTTATTAAAATTGAAGTTCCTGTTTCAAAGCTTACAGATAGATGGCTAATTTGTATGTCATTGACACTTTTGGCACTTTTTTGGAGTATTTTCAGAAGTTTTGTTTTTTCCTGTAAATGATTCAATAAATACCGTACCGTGACATTCATACCGAGGTATTACCGTACCGTGAAATTCTGATACCGTTACATCCCTAATATATATATATATATATATATATATATATATATATATATATATATATATATATATATATATATATATATATATATATATATATATATATATATATATATATATATATATATATATATATATATATATATATATATATATATATATATATATATATATATATATATATATCTATATATATATATATATATATATATATATATATATATATATATATATATATATATATATATATATATATATATATATATATATATATATATATATATATATATATATATATATATATACTATATATATATATATATATATATATATATATATATATATATATATATATATATATATATATATATATATATATATATATATATATATATATATATATATATATATATATATATATATATATATATATATATATATATATATATATATATATATATATATATATACATATATATATATATACATATATATATATATATATATATATATATATATATATCTATATATATATATATATATATCTATATATATATATATATATATATCATATATATATA